AATAAACATATTCTTTCACAAGAATTTTACTCCTGTTTTACCATTATGCTATCAACAGTATTTCACTGAGCTTCTAAGTAAACTCCAACACTTAAGATATTCAGGCAGTATTAAAGTGCTGACTTATTAATGTGAAACCTATGTTACTTTGAATCTTGAAGTTTATTTCATGGGAATCCATACAGTCTCATGCCACATTTATTGCTATCTGGGAAATTAATGGATTGTACAATTGGTTGCTTCATTTCCACTTTTTGAATTTGCTACAACTGGCTTCCCTGCGTTTTTGTTTGGTAGCTCTTGTCAGCTGAAAATAACAATACTTTATGTTGGAACAGCAGCTTCCACTCTAATGCCTTTACTTATTTTACAAAGGCACTGAAATACTGTGCAAAGTGCATTTACTGACAGACTTTGTCAGCCACATCCACACAGCGCTTGGGTTTGCCACAACAGGTGATTTCAGCTGGCTGAATCCACACTGCTTGGGAGGACAAGGTCCAAGTCAGAGCCAGTCCTTGCCCTGTACTTGCACTTCACTGCTTTGCAGGCTGCCTGGGGCATTATCAAAGAAGGGCTGAAACTGGAACCCAAAGCACAGATTAGAGTGCTGAGTCTGGTCAACACAGACAGGCTCATCCAGGCCTTAGGTCATTCCTTGTCAATTTTTTACCACCTGAAGCATGTAGAGATTATTTCATCTATGTAAAATTGGTGGTTGCACTGATGGCTACCCCTCTGTATCACTCTACAAAACATAGCAAAGGTTTTGTGTATTTTTTGCCTTGGCTGATCCAGTCTAAAATCTACAATGTGTCTAACTTCTAAATTGGTCTTCCTAGAAACTAACACTGCTGGAAATGCTACAGGTAGAAGAACATTACCAATGACATTTTAAATTTGTCCTAGTCCTAGTATTCAATACTGCATACTAAATCTGTTTAATCTAATGTATCTATAAAGGGAAATTCCAGTGCATTTTAATTACATGTGTTGCAGAGTGACACCATGCTATGAACTTATTTGACTATTTTTTTTGCTATCCAGAGTTATCTAAAATACATGGGTGTTTATAATATAAAGGATAATACTCTTGAAAGTTAAAATCAATAAAATAAATTAATATCAGAAGATGAAGGAAAAAGGAAAAAAGACAGAAAATTTTGAACATATTGCTATAAAATCTCTTAATATTCTGTTTAGCTAATGAATATGTAATAATATCTGTTGTTCTCAGATAATGGAAGTATCACTGTTGAAGTTAAGCTGAGCTGTCTGACTGATTATTGTTTATTTTAATTTTGTCTCACTGAATAGTTAATTCTCTGACAGGATTTTCCTCATTTCTCATAGACTCCAGTATTAACGAAAGCATTAAATCATTACTTATTTTGGATCACCTCACTTGGGGCCTGACCCTGTCCCATTAAGTCAAGTGTATCATTACTATTCATATGAGCAGAGGGCAGAACTATATGGGAGGTTTTGCAGAAAGCAAGCCATGCTCCAAAAGAAAGATCAAACAAGCAGATTGCTAGAGGGCAAAGGTTCATTAAAAGGTCAGTCCACATCTACAGAAAAAATAGTGAAAGTATTTAAAAACTGCACCACAAAAAATAAAAATGAGATAGACATTTAAGATACCAGGTGCAAGAAAATACAGCATGTGGTTCTGTCTTTGCAACACAAGCTGTCAATGTTTTGTCTTCATTTTTAAAATAAATTAATAAGATAATTTAGTTGTTTTTGTTCTTGAGTTAGACACCAAAGAGCAAGATTCCATGGTGCACAAATCGATCTCAAACCTGCATTAATCACAAGCAAATTTGAAATGATTGTTAGATTTTTTTTCTCTACATTATACATCATTATTTGAATCACACTCAAATTGGAAAACACTATAGCAAAACCATTACTCCGACTATGTGGGAGTAAATCTGCTCTTAATTTTATTTTGCACCTATCTATTCTTTTTGTGTGTTGTACATAACTCTTTTTCCTGTATACTTAAAATGACTTCTCAGGAAAATAATTTAAATATCAACATCATTTATAAACATATTTAAAGATGAATATATATAGATGTATTATATATTTAACATAAAATTATATACATTTTGATTTACAATATTTGTCTTATAAGAAAATACTTTAAATCCTTTTAAAGATGCACTGAAATATAATGATGGAATATTTTAACCTGACTTTACCAATGCTTAAAATGAAAGTGTTTTTCTATAAAGGAAAGATCTTTGGGAATTCCCCTGACTCCCATGAACAAATACCTTTTCAACAATGCATACTTTGAAATGCTAGAAAAACTGAACGCCACTTATTTCTCAAAAGTGGGTATTTTATACTTTTCATTCATTCATTCTCTGTTATTGAAACAGGCTGAATGGGGCTTGCTGTCAGTGAGTTTAAATTGCCAAACAAGAGGCAAGTCTTACTATGTATTTTGAATATCTACAAGAAACATACAAAGGATTATAGCTGATCATGTTTTTCTCTTTCCTTGATAATGCTCCATTTGCTTCTGAAAGATATGTCTGGTTCCCCACCCTGGGAAGAGTAGATCTTGAATAGCTCTTTAAGAATTAGAAAATACGTGATAGCTTTCACACCATGCCTGTTTTTAGAACAAAGTAGCATGCTCAGATATTTTATCATTTGTTTTAAAAAGCACAGGGCTAGTGTTATATAATTGTGTTTAGGATTTTCCGATGTCTAGCCTGGAATGTCTAATGAAGAAGCGCTCCAGCCTCCCCTGCTCTGTGTGTGTGCGATCCTTCAATCCTGATTTTGCATTTCTAACGAAGCTGAACTGACAAAGCGTGAAAGTGGTCTAAAAGGAAAAACAAAGAAAGTGACCCTGCTTTCACAGTGCCAAGACTAATCAATATTCCAGGAGCCCCCGCTTTCCCCTCTCGCGGTGGGCTGGTTCTGTCCTTTTTTTTTTTTTTTTTTTTTTTTTTTTCCCGGCGCTGGGCCGGCAGTCTCCTCCCCTTTCCTGAAGTTACAGGGATAGTAAGTTGCCGTACTCCGGAGCACATGCAGATGTCAGTTTTCCCCCTGCCGCCCGCCCGGCTCCGCAGCTCCGCGCTCTCCGCCGGGAAGCCCCTGCCTGCTCCCCGCGCTCCCGCGGAGCCCCGACAAGGTGAGCCCGGCCTGTCCTGCAGCGAGCGAGGGTCGGAGCGGGGGGGAGTCATTTCTCACTCTCTGCCTTTGTATCTTCATTAATTGATTCGTCTTTTGATTGATTAATCCTTTGGCTGCACCCGTATTCTCTCTTGATCTTGATGCAAATTGTGCAGGACAGATTAGCTGCTAAACATCCTGGAAAGGAAAGGCACTGTGAACGATATCTCTCTCTCCTCTCTCTCTCTCTCCTTCTCTCTCTTCTCGCTCCTTTTTTTTTTTTTTTTTAATGCCTACATTAATCGGTCGGGGGAAAAAAGAAATCCTGCTTCGGTACAGCAGTCCTGTCCACGGTAGAACCCTTACTAATTTAGATATTTAGCTAGGTCTCAGAATTTCTGTTTCCACTCCTTAAAGCAGCACGGCTTATAGCGTTCTGTTAAAATTCAGGGAAGATATTGCGCTAAAGTGACGGTCTTGAAACATATGGTAAAAGCAGCGATCTAAATCCACCAAAATAAACTTGTTACAACATGCGATTTTGCTTAAAACGTGCTGGCTGAAACCCCTGTGTATTTACATTTTAAATGCTTCCGAAAAAAAAAAAAAAAAAAGTGTTTTGGCACTAAATTTATTTAAAATGAGGTGTTAGAGTTGAGCTGTCTATAAACAGAGATAAATTTCAGCAGAAGCACCTAGGTTTATCCATTTATTCATTAATTACTACTTTTAAAAAAGCATGCCAGTGTATATTGACTAAAACTTCAGAAAATTGTATTCTGTCTGGAAAATACCTTTGAGGAGTCTCCGTTACTAAACAAACTCATACCCAGCAGCCATCAAAACAAACGCACACAATCTAAAATAAAAAGTAATAGCTTAATGAAAAACTTTTAATATTGAAACATTTTAAGGTTGATCCAGAATGAGATTTCTTGAAGTCAGACGTGTTGTGGTTCTTGGGTTGTCCTGCACAGGTCCAGGATTTGGACTCCATGATCCGGATGTGTCCCTTCCAATTTAGGATAGTCTGTGATTCTGTGATATATGCTCATAATTGCTGTCAGGACAAGTTAAGCATTACTCTGCAAGGTGAGCTGATATTGCAGTCTGAAGCAACAAGTTAAGTGGGATATTACTCCTGATGTTTCACAGATGTGCTCGGAGTAGTTTATACAGCTAAAAGATGAATGTTATCAACATAAATCTGTCCAAGGCATATCTTCTAAATACTGGTTGGGGGATAAAGAAACTATTGCTGTTGCCTTTTTCCATGTGAAAAGAAGGAATTGAGACAATGCATTCAATCATTTTAAAACATTTGAAATGTAGAACAATTTACCAGTTTGAACAAAATATTTCTCTTCAGTGGTTAATGTGAAGGTGAGCTAGATTTTTTTTTCAAATAATAATGGCCTGATAAAAAGTACAAGAGCAAGCCTGACAGAGAGTTTTAAGCATTATATCTGAAGTTGCTATGATTTGTACTGATTTTACATGTATGTATCAATAGCAAATATTTTTTAAAAAGTTACTCCTGGGTTTTACAGCATGACAGCAGTTCATGTCTGAAGACATGGGACACTTATCTGATCAGTCCATGTCATCCTTCTTTCAAAGTCATTGAGGTTCTGCATCAAAAACTGCTTAGATATTAAGAACAATACAAGTTTTACTGAAATATGAAGAATATTTGCTTCTATGTAAATATATAGCTAATCATTCCCCTAAAATCTTACTGCAATGTTTGATATTTCTTGTCTTGCAGGTTTCTCCAGTAACTCCCACTGAAAAGAGTCCTTCACTTTTCTGAAGGGATACTGACAGAAATTAACTATAAAAGAAAGCTTTCAGCAAGATAAATGACTAAAGGTAACGGAGAAGATCCAAAACCTGGAAGTAGGATGGAACGAATTCAACAAGGAGTCCGGAAACGTACACTTTTGGCAAAAAAAAAAGTGCAGAGCATAACAAAGGACGATGTTAAAAGTTATTTAATGAGGAATGCCTTTGTGCTCTTCACCGTTGTTGCTGTGATTCTTGGTGAGTAATTTGTTCAAATATTCTGTTCTCCAGTGCATTTGACAATGAAGATGTGACTGAGTGATTTGCATTACAAATGAGTTTCCAAATTCTTCTGCACTGATAAGAATGTTCTGGCTTGGAGAGTTTTGGCTTTGACAGCTGCATGAAGTTTAAGCGCCATTAAATTATTCTAGTAATTCCTAAGAAGAATTTTGGTGAGAAAAACCAAGCAGAATAGCTGTTTTATGAATTCTTCCCTTAAAGAATCAGATACGATAACTAAGTTGAATGTTTTCAATTGTATATTTTCCTACCAAAGCCAGTTGCTGCAAAATGCTCAGGAAGTAACTTTTATTCACCTAAACTATCAAAAAATTAGCACTTTGCAATGATGAACAGAAACTCTCAATTAATGAAAGGAGGAGACCTTTCTAGGCAAAGGCATAAAGTAAATACAGCCTCAATCTTTTCAGTTTTCCCTTGATAAAGGCAAACCTAAGTTTATTCTCCCTCAGCCACTCACAATCTTACACATGCATCTTTCAGATGCAATTTGGGCAACAATGGCAGTGTTACTTATTCAAAGGACTGAAAGATAGCACCTGATTAAATGCCTTTTAAGAGTATACTGAGAGGAATCCAGTACATCAAACAGCCTTTAGATTGGAATGCACCAAAATATTGCTACATACTTTGAATTAGCATTAGAAAGAGAATCTGCTGAGAAAAAACATGCAATTTTTAAAACTAATGTTTCTTTAAATTATTACATGATCACTTAAGATAATTTTTCTTTAATTAGAGATTGTCAAAGTGGCACTATGTTTTATGACATAACCACTCTTTACAGGATGAGCAAGAATTTAATGGCTTTACTGTATGGCTTTCATTTTTCCCATTAGTTTAAAATATAAAATTGTGAATCTGATCGTGATGATGATGAAAAACCATATGTAAGCCCCTAAAGATAATGGTCTATATCCTTTGCTTATGTAGGCCCTAATGTCCTTCATAGTGCTGTTCTGTATAGGTCTGCTTGCTGTGTTTCTACAACTCTTCCAGGAGTTGAAATTTTAGGGCTCTACCATTATTGTTGCTTGATACCACATCAGCACTGTTATTTCAAATTAATTCCAGGTTTGATGGTCTTTTTTTGGAAGATATATTAATTTGCCTACTGGTAAAATAAAGTACTTCTTTGCTAAAGCAGTAATTTCAGTTTCTGCTATTTATAAACAGTATTTGATGGTAAATGTTTTTAATTCCTAACTAAGAATTTTATAGGTGTAAAAGCCCCGTTAATATCAGGGGTGAAAAAAATTAGGTGTTTTATCTACAATGGTGAGAAAAAGCAGAGCCAGTCAAGTAAGTTTTGAGACACTGTCCAACCACAAAGAACACAATTCTTTGATTGTTACTTTACTAAACAGCATGTGAAAAAAAAATTATTCTTGCAATTTTTTCTCTGTCATCTACATCCAGCAGGCCTCCCACAAATTTGTTAATGTGCAAATGAAATGTAGACTGGACAAGTGGTTTTGCTGTTATTGCTGGTTCCAATTAATTTTAGGTAACTACTCTGCCCACTACTCCACTACTACCTACAGCAGAAGATTGATAGGCACTGGGACACAAGTTGGAGAACTGATGAAAATGTGCAGCCTAGGATGAACTGGTTGCTCCAATTCTGCTCATGAACCTGTAGACATATCGAGTACAACATGTAGAAGAAAATGTCTTGTTATTATCACAAAATGCTCAAAATTTTTCTTACATCTGTTATTTGTGGTGTAATTTTGCAGTACCTATATATGATTAGAACAGTCATTTCATGGTTAATCGATTATAAAAAGGTAATATTTGGGGCTTTTGAGAGTGTTTTGCTGTTGTGGAAATACTCAGAAGTAGGGAACAGATGGCTAAAGTAGTTGGGAAACACTCAGTGGTTGAATTCCATCTGTCTAGTTTGGCAAGGACTAAGTTGTTATCATCACTCAGTCGTTTGGTGATCTGTCGAAAATGAGACAGTGGGCTTGATCCCCTCCCTAGGAGACAGTAATCAGTGTTGCAGAATTAGCCCACCAATTAGCACCACTGGCTCTCCCATTGGAGATACTTGGATGTGAGTCTAGGTGGAAACCAAACTATACTCAGGCCAGGGTTGAATCATTTACAAGAAATAATGCTTAGTGCTCTGTAAACTAACAGACAGATGACAGTTCTTGGAGCTGTCACTCCAGAAGTTTTCATAGACACTCTACTCAGGAAAACATTTTATTTAGAGAGAGCAACATTTCTTCACAGACTTTTTTTTTTCACTTCCTTTTAGTCAAGGGATAAATATGAAAAAGCCTTTTTTAATACAGCATTTCTCATTTCTTTGCTGGGCAGGATTGATTTCAGTAGAGGTTAAGTGCATAGGACCTTATCTTTAGTTTCAGCACTGTAGTTTATTGTGGGGGCTTGAGCTTGTGTTGAAGTGGGAACTTGCCCTTTGTTATGAGGTGGGTAACTACAGCATGCAATTCTCTCTGTTGTACGCAGACATTTTGCAAATAGACTGAGGTTTGTCTGGTATTCACATGATAAGGAGAAACGTAGTCATTTATATGGCCATTCTGTTGTTACTCTGATTCTAAACTGAATTCTAAAGTAAATTCACTAGCTGCTACCATACTAAGCCAATTATTCATTAAAAAACCTAGTGATGAAGATGCAAGAAGCTATATTTCATGTTGAAAAATACTTAGAACTATTCCCTATTCCCATAAAAATGCATGGAACGTCCTTCAGATTACACCTTCTGCATAGGTAGGGTCTGTCTAGCACATTGTCATAATAATTGTTAATATTTTTAGTGACATTTAAACTTTTCTCAAACCCTTTAAAAAACTTGGAGAAAAGCATCGTCAATAAGTGAATTATGATGCTATTTTTTGCATTTTTGTTGTTGACATAAAGATATTATGAATGAGTTTTCTGTAGTCAATTTTGCCAATACTCAATGGATGAGAGCAATCCTGTGAAACAAATGTTTGAGGCTGACCACTGGTAAATTGAGAATATCATGATGACCAGGAGCACTTTAAGGTAGTGTAGGGATCCTGGTGGCTCATGGAAAATCTACAGGAAGTCTCACAAACTTCGAAGTGCTAGCCAAATTACTGGCAAAATCTAAGGCTGTCCCACGCTACTCAGAATCATCATCCTGTCCCTAAAAACTCCTTCCTTTCAGATACACTTCCTTTATCAGCCTGCCTTCATTCTCACATCCCATTTTCTGAAAAATGGCACAGGAACCCAGACTCTGACAAGACTCTAAGTGCCAAAGAATCTCCTGTGGGTTCTGAACTTGTACTGAAGGAAAGACTGAGATACAGAGCACTACTGAGCAGAGATCCTCAGAAACAGTCTGCAGAGAAATGCTGTTTTAATTGGAACAGAGGCAGGCTGTGAAACAAGTACTATGAAAAGAAGTTTCTGCATAGTTATTAAGCTCCAATTCGCTAGCTAAAATCCTCTTGCCAGAGGTATACGTTGCAGCTGATGCTGGAACATTCAAGGGGGAGGGGGATGGATCCATTCCTGTTTTCTGACTCCCTGTTTCCCCAAAGGAAAGAGGGAATGCGGGTCTGGCTGTGTCATTGAAGCCAGGCTTCTGTAATTGCCAGCAATCCCACAATAGGTGTGAAATATAGATAAACCCATACAACCTCTGCACTGCAACAGCATGCACCATGTGGGAGATTCCAAAGCTTTCCATTCTGTTTACCAAAAAAACTAGTTAAAAGTACAGGAAGACAGGTGAGATGAAAGTCCTGCCCCTTTTCTCTGAAGAAAAAAAGCAAAGAGATAAATGAAGCCTTGAAAGGATCATTTATGACACAGAAGTCAAAAAACCCACAGAGTCCTTACAATATCTGAACACTGAAAGGTTGTGCAAAGGAGCAAATTCTCCTGTCTCAGGAAGACTCCCTGTCTGAACAACAGTTTTGAGACCTATGAGGTACAAGTACACAAAGTAGACAAAACTCAGGACAATGCCAACAAGAAAAGCACTATATATTGACATTGAACACTGTGACAAATCCTAATGCAGCATTGGTAAAATTTGCATGAGAACAAAGTGAAGATCCATCACTGAAGGATAAACAGCTGTGGGACCTGAGTTTTAGGTGGAAGTATATGTTAAAACATAAGGAGAGAAACTGTTAAAAAAATTTATAAGATATATGCAAGAAAATCAAGACAATTGGATACAGTTAAAGAGAAATTAATTATTTTTATGCTGAACTCAGAGGCTGACTCTATCTCAGGGCTCTCCTAAAGAACCTGCCCAGTGCAATTGATTTCTCACTGAGTGACAACACCTTCCTAAGTAATATTCTGAAAAATTTGCTAATCATAACCTTTCTTTTTATTGTAAAAAATAGTTATAATTTTGGAAGGAAAAAAAAGCATTAACACACACCATAAAATCAGAGTGACACGTAAAACTCCAAAAGAGATTATTCTTTTCAGAAGGAAGAAAAAGTATAGAAATGCGCAGAACTTTAATTCTGCTATTAAGACAGCAGTAAAAGTCAGAGTGTGAAATATAAACAGTACTCTAGTTTAACAGTTACTTGCAAAATAAAATAATGTTAATACATTATTACAATCCATGTTTCTTACCACAATTCATTTTGGTGTTACTGAAATGAAGCAGCGATTGTTGAACTGCCATACACAGCACAGAGTAACAACAATAAACTTGGCTACCTTGTGAATTACAATTAAGCATTCTGGAGAGAGCAGCTGCGCATAAATGCGCAGTAAAGATGTAAAATCTGCCAAATACCAGCTTATTTCTATCCTAATGCTCTAAAATGTCAAATTAGTGGACTTGCAAAGTGGTGCTCAAAAGCAGTTTGTCTCAGTTGTCATAAAACAGTCCAGAGAAACATTCATTCCACTCTTCATACAGATTGAAAAACAGCTGTTGAGATTCTCAAAATTCTCTCTAGAAGTTAAAAATT